CTACTTTTGTTGTTTTTCCACGCAGACAGAGTCGCGGGCAAAAATTAGTACGTCGTTAAGTTTATTTTTAACAATTCCAGTGTCATTTTTTACGTATTAAAATATTAAAAATTTCCACATTAAATGTGTTCAAAGAATATTTGTGACACAGTTTTATTTAGCATCAACCTGTGTATCCCACCGGTAGTACTTAGGTCCGCAGTACAGGGTGCTCTATAATGAACATAATCTAGCAACGGTCGGCCGCCGCCGGACCTGCACCTGCGCTTCCGTTCGCAGACCACTTGTGGCAGTCATGTAAGTACAAAAATATTTTTGAATGTACAAAGTTTTTTATAGTCCTTATAGCATCTTCCTTAGCCAGTTTTTTTTAGTTATTAGTAATTGCGTAAAATTGTAGCCGTCATTAAATGCATATGATCCTAATTTGTCATCTGATAAAAATACGGCTAAGGAAAAAAATTAACAACTTTCATAAACGAATTACTTTTAAAGATAGAAATAAAATACCCTATATGAAAAGGTACGATTGAGAGAGGTCTTCTAGTTTTTGTCTGCATCCTTATTGGGATCACAAGACATGACCAAGCAGCCATCTTCAAGAACTAAAGTTGGAAACTTACACTACCCAAAACAATTAAGTAATTAAAAAGTATTCTAAGTAAGCTTGGGTTCCAGACACCATGGACTTCGACGCGATATTAGAAGACGTAGGGACGTTCGGGAAGTACCAGAAGCTGGTGATCTACTGCGTGCTACTGCCGGCGGTCATCCCGTGCGGATTCCACGCGTACGCCCAACTCTTTATGGCAGCAGACGTGGTACACTGGTGCAGGGTGCCGGAGCTGGAGCATCTAGATGATATGGAGGTCCTCAAGAATATTAGGTGATTCCAGAACCTTAGTCGTAAAACTATGAAACCAGCATCTATCAAACATCAACTTTCTAAAAGCTTACGTAACGTGAGATGACTACGAAGCAAGCTCCACCTTACAGAGGTATCTTCTTCCAGTATACCAGTGGAATTGAAGAACGGTATCCCGCAGTACTCATCATGCAGTATGTACGACCTCAACTATAGCTACATCGCAGCCAACTACCCCGACATAGATGTAATGAATAACTCGGCAGTGATACCTTGCGCACACGGATGGACCTACGATAAAAGCGTCTACACGAATACTGTCGCCACTGAGGTAATTAGCAATGATATAGAATATTTTATAACTAACTTTCGCCCGCGACTCCGTCCGCGTTGAATTGAAAAACAACAAAGTAGTAGCCTATGTGTTCTTCCAGAGTATGCTCTACATCTATGCCGAATTTCATCCAAATCCGTTCAGCCGTCTAAGCTACAAACGCCACCCATCCATCTAACCTTTTACGTTTATAATATTAGTAAGAAGTAAGATTATAGTAACTGCAGTATTTTATGGTGAGGAAACTCAAAATATTTCGACTTTCATGCTTTAAACTTATTGTAAAGTAAAATTCGATTTGTTTTAACATAGATTACTTTGGAAATTACATTTCAAGCACTAAGAATAACGATGGCTATAGTCGGGCTTACTAGCATAGAACAACAGTTAACTCAATTATTCTGACCAGTTCAACTTAGTGTGCAACAAAGATTTCTACCCGACTCTCGGGCTGGTGCTCCTGGCGGTTGGTGGCATCATTGGGAATTACATCTTCGGCTACCTTCAAGACACCATCGGGAGGAAGCCATCTTTCTTCATCTACCTTCTCATTGAGAGCATCTTCGGCGTTGCCACTGCGTTTGCGCAGAACTTTCCTGTTTGGATAATCTATAGGATCGGCGTTGGGTTTACTGTTCCTGCTATTATGGCAACACCTTATGTTTTGGGTAAGAAAATCTTTTAATTTTTAGATTTTCCTAAGATTTCATTGTTTGTTTTTTCTTTTATAACTTCTATCTTATAATCTATCTATATATATATATAGATAGATATCTATAGATATATATAGGTCGTAGCATTTTAAACAAATTAAATGAGACATATATAACCTATAAGTTGCATACGTAGTTGCTAAATGGCAGCTATATGGCGCGAGAGCTTAATAATTTATTTCAGCTATCGAGCTAGTGGGTCCCAAGTGCCGTACCCTTTGCACCATCCTATCTAACATCGCGTACTCCTTGGGGCTGATCCTCCTCGCTGGTATGGTCTACTTGGTAAGAGACTGGCGCCATTTAGCGTTGGCCACCACTCTCCCGTTCGTCTGCTTTTTCTTTTACATCTGGCCGATGCCGGAGAGTCCAAGATGGCTGCTTGCAAGAGGACAATTTGAGAAGGCGGAGATTATATTGAAGAAAATGGCCAGGTTTGTGTGACTTTTTTGTTTCTCAAATTTGAGTACTTAGATTTTTTTATAGTTTTACTTGTCTATTATCTGGTCATCCAATGCAGCTTTTAGAATAGAATTATAAATAGTTTTGTAAAATGTTTTTCTTAGAACGAACGGCAAATCATTACCAGCTAACTACATGGTACATTTACGTCGTAAATACGAGTCGGATAAATTAAAACAAGATCTGGAGAAAGAGAAATCAAGGAAGTACGGCATCTTGGATTTGTTCCGTACCCCCAATCTGAGGAAGAAGACTATTATAATTACCTTTATTTGGTTTACTAACACAAGTGTATATGTTGGTCTATCGTACTACGCCCCGGTATTGGGTGGAGATGAGTTCTTGAACTTCTTTTTGGCGGGAATCGTGGAGCTTCCCACGTATCTCTTCCTCTGGCCATCAATGGAGAGACTCGGAAGAAGGTGGACGTTATGCATGAGCATGGTTGTCGGTGGTGTGGCGTGCTTGACTACGTTTCTGGTCCAACATGGTAAGTGCATCCTTCTATCAGAATAAAATACCTTAATGTTGTTTACATTTCGTTGTTTTTAATTTGTCGTATACGCGATCGTAATTAGACAGAATAGTTGCTTATTAACCTAACACATTTAACCTCTAATCAAATTATCTGTTCTCAGCATATTTTTTTCTTGTTGTTGGATTACCTGAACTTCGTCATCAATAATTATTTGGTATCATTATAGAGACGTACGTGACCTTAGCTCTATACTGCGTGGGAAAGATGGGCATATCATCGTCGTTCGTGGTGTTGCCGCTGATGGCCTCTGAGCTGTACCCTACAGTGGTACGCGGCCTCGGCATGAGCCTCAGTTCTGTACTCGGCATGTTAGGACCTATCTTTATACCGCTCGTCAACTATTTGGTAAGTTGCACTTTGAACTGGCAAGTTGCAATTTCCTTGAAATGCAACGTGCCGCAGGCTAGCATTCGTTTTAATAATTTAATAACCAAGAGAGAGAGAGAGAGAGAGAGGGGGGGGGCTAATATGAGAGTGAACGAGAAACAGAGAGAATGCCATACTATGTGCTTTTCTGGATCTTTAGATGGCTGAGGTTCTAGGTTATGTATGACCTGCCTTACGTTACTAGACTTTAAATTTACTTGACACCATCAATTTTACGTTTTTCTTATCAATATTACGTATTTTAGGGCTCCGACATACTGGTACTTCCTCTAATCATCATGGGGGCACTTCTTGTCGCCGGTGGCATCGCCAGTCTGTTACTACCAGAGACTCTTAACCAACACTTACCTCAGACCCTGGAGGATGGTGAGAAGATGGGACTGGACACAGACTTCTGCTGTATACCACCAGTCAAAGAAGTAAAGCCGAAGAAAAATAAGATAGATAACTGCAACAAATGCAACACATTTTGCACTTGTCAGGTAGTCAACGTGGCTTTGTCAGAAAATGTCGCTGCTGTTATAGACAAGTCTGGTGAAAATGTTGAGTTTATTTTAGTTAAGTAGTACACTTTATGAAATATTTTAAGACGAGCAACGATTATGTAAAATAGTTTAGGAATAAATTTTGTAGACTTGAACTATCGAATTTTGCCGTAGTTCATATTTCAATTTCAACAGTTTTTTTGAAATGTCTGTGGTGGGTACACAAATAAAACAAATATTAAAACTCATGATTTTATTGTAAATGAAGTCATATCTTTAATTAATAATAACATGACAAAAAGTAATATTTTATTACACAACAAACTAAATAAACACAAAGTTTTAAGATCCTTGCTTTGCTACATGTTGCATGCACTGTTTCGCATTTAAAATTTGACAGTTAACCAATTCGCGGGGTTGCCAACAGTAATCTTGTCTATGGTCGTTTGAGATATACCTCTATTCTTCATTCTGGGTAGCACGTTGTTTATGATATGGGAGTAACCGTGTCCTCCAAAGTTAATCTGGAAATAAAATGAATTTTAGAAGTAGTCGCATTTTAGTATACATTAAGTTAATATGCAATATTGTACCAGTCTATGTTTAGTGTGTATATCATGGGACATTAATATTCTTTCTTCCTTTCCTTCCTGTATCAGTGCTTCTATTTTATCAATACGCTGGGCATCAGAAGGCATCGCCACTGTCTCGTTCAGTTGATAGTAAGATACTTCAGTGCCGAACAAATCGAACTGACAGTACGACCCCAACTCTGCGAACTCTAACAGCTTCTCGGTCTGAAGTAGCGTACCTGATGGTTACAAAGATTATTTGTTAGTTATTCTTTTGTTTAAAAAAATATAAAGAAGATTCAAGTAAGCCGTACGTATTACGTAAGTTGTATAAATGTACGTTTTAAGAACTATTATAGTGGTACAAACAAAGTTTTAAAATGTTAAAGATCATTATTGGTAATCTCACGGTCCAAATGCGACATGACAGCCTTGTCAACTTGTCCGCCGGCCTCAGTGTATACGCGGAGGATCTCGAAGGGGGCTTCTGGGTCACGATGAGGATGGAAGCTGACCCCGCAGCGGAGCTGAGCCTGTACCTCGCCTGCCGCTGATATTGCTTTGCGCTCGAAATCTAAACAAATCGAAACGTTCACATTCGAGTGAAACAAGGTCTAACAATGCATATAATTTTGATTTTTTTTTAATTAGTTAATTTAAAAGGGTATAGCAAGGTAAATCAAATTGTTTATTCTTAAGTCGTACTCTTCTTAGAATCGTGGTTAAAAGTATTTAGCAACATTTTAACATTAGGTTAATTAGAAAAACGTGGTGTCAAATATAACATTGTTTACCTTTCAATGGCCATACACTGGCAATCTCTCCCATAAATCCAGCTTTAACTGTTGGATAGTCTACACATCCTTCAGTAAGTTCTCTTAACATGTGATTGTAAATATCTTCTTTGGTATTTCTGATTGATACATCGTTCTGTAAATCTGCGATGTAATGTCCTGTTCCTGCTAACACGTGTACCCCCGTCGTATTTGATACCTTCTTCAAAAAATCAATATTCCTCTCCAAACCTTCCGTGGAATTTTCAACAATAGTACCTGATATACAAAGATCATTAACCAATAATCAATCTTCTTACGTAATACGTAATTGTATTTAAATACTTACCGCCTCCATATTTTTTAAAATCTTTCACATCATTCAAAACAGCATCTTGTGAGTCACTGTCATTGAGGAGTAAATTGGACTGAGAACTGTAAGGATACTGTCTTAAATACCCGACAGTGTCCAGTGAGAAACCTTTTTGAAATTTGTCAGCAATCTGTTTCGGCGGTTGTTTATAAAAATGTGTAAACTTCATATGCAAATGTTCATGTGTTAGAGTTATGCCGAGAACGTTGGGATCCACGTCTCCGTTTACTAAAAAATCATACATAAAACACTATATTTATTCGAATTTAGTTAAACATTTTTAAATAAAAATTAAATCTATCATTTTTGTTTAAAAATTGTATTTTAATTTTTATTATGGCAACACTGATAAAATTTTTAATCTGTAGATTAGAGCTTTTGTTTGTGCTCGATTTTAAGATTTAGGACGCCTATTTTTGCGGCTGTTATCAAATAATTGAAACAATAAAATGTTTTTAAAACCAGATTCTTTTTTATTTTAATGTTACACTTATATTTTTATTCTAACCTATATTAAAGTTAGTATGTAAAATTACTATTTGACCCACATTGACAAGAATGTGTGTTTATGAAACATTACTTTGGAATGGATAAATTACGAATAACCTACTTTTGTGTTAGAAGGTTATTTCAAAGAGGTGTAAGTTTTTTTACCTGTTTGAACTCTCCCAACCATTTTATGTGTACAATTGAAAGTTGCCTTAGTGCTAGATAATTCACGACTGTGAAGTAGTCTTTAAATATGAGAGATGTGTAACTATAAAGATGTTATCAAAACTCTTATCACTTATATTTACCATAAATATCATATTGTTTTACTTCTAATCTAGGTGTCTATGATCCACAGAATATAAATGTTCCATTAATTAATCGGTTTTTACTCTCGTTTGATGAATCCCATGATGCCACTGCCTACATAACAGGAGCATAAGTAAATGTGTATAATCGTAAAATGTAATTATCTCAGTTTATCTGACAAAAATGAGGAATATAATACATGAATGTTTTGGATGTAGAAACCTGCGGTAAGACTTCTCACTTTTTTTAACAGCAATCTATCTCTATACTAATATAATAAATTGTAAACACACATTATGATACTTTGTGACGCAGGATGTCTTTTTTTTACAAGCCCTACACTTTCGATACTCTTTAGGCTACATATTTTCACGCTATTAAGCTTAGGCGGTAAATAAATTGGAAAAAACCTTCACGTGGGAAAGGGTTCATAAACTACAAGCTGCCAACATTAAGGAAGCAATGTTATTATGGTAACGGTAATTTTGACATTTGCAATTGACGATTTGTCAAATGTTAACAATAGTTTTTGAAATTTAATGCGGGTGAGGCCGCATGGGAACAGCTAGTAAAAAATGTGATTGATCAATATAAACAATATAAGTGTCCTTGGTAACAATTTGACGTTTGTTTATTTAAGTCACATACAGAAAACTTATTTTCCAATAATGCCTATTATAGTAAAAGATTTCACGTGGACACAGTCTCCGACGAATTTGCAGATCAAAATACCGTCGAAGTCGTCGAATAAAAACAACGTGGATATTTTCACAACAGATTCGTATATCAAAATACATTTCAATCCATTTCTATTTGAGTTATTTTTATTACACGATGTCGACAACGAGCGAAGTAAGTGTATAGTGCAAGAAGAATCAATACTGCTTGAGCTAATTAAAAAGAAAGAAACAGATTGGGAGGGCCTCGAAAAATGTTTAACTAAGGAAGAGAAAATGGTACTGCGCCAAAAGATACTTGAAAAATGCCAAGCAGAAGCGAAGGAGAAGGCTGAACAAAAGTCTATAAAAAAGAGTGAGATGGATAGATTTACAGTGCAAAAGGCAATGGAGATTGACTCCCAACAGCATGCGTTAATGGATTCCAGAAGAGATGCAGAACGGAATAAAGCTATGAATGAATTACAGGAGTGGAAAGAGTCACTTAAGCCAGTAAACGTAAATAAGTCTTCTAAAAATGTTACTAACAATTGGTCTTATAGCGTTAAGAAAAATGAAAACAGCGTTAAGATTATCGAATTACCATCCTCGGATGAAGAGAAAGTCAACAAAAAACAACCAACACAAAAGAAACAGACAATAAACAAATCTTTACCAACTTACCAAGGCAATATGCCAGTGAAATCTGAATATGTGGAAAAGATAAAAAAAGAAACTGCTAACCGAGTTCTACCAAAGCTAAGGGAAGCCGGAGAAGTGATAATTACACACACACCAAGAACATTTCCTACACCAAGTCGAGAGTCAGCGGCCCAAGAGGAGGAAGCTTGGTTAAAGAATATTACGCAAGCAAGAAGAGCTATAGGTTGCAAATTTTAAATTATTTGCACTTATATCTTCTAACAAAAATTGCACAAACGACTACGAAATTGTGACGTGAACTTTGCACTTGTTTGCTTCTGTAGGCTAGTCGCGTAGTAATTAAAATACTTCGTATTATGGAGCGCAGTCATAGAAATATACACATTTAAAGTACCTATTACAATTTCCAGGATTCGTATCCGAGGACCTTCGGCCCGAAGAACATGACCCTCAGTGGTGTAAAGAGAAAGGAGACGAATTCTTCCGCAACGGAAACTATCTGGGCGCGATCAGCGCTTACACGCATGGAATCAGTCTTTCTGATAAGCTACCAAGTCTGTACTCGAACAGAGCGGCCGCACACTTTGCTCTCGGAAATTTCAATAAATGCGTAAGTAAAATATTCCCAAATATTCACCAAACATAGTTATGTTTACGACTACAAATTCTATTTAACATAATTCTATAGAACGTAGTTTTTTAGAAAATATATCGGAAATATCTAAGGAAACCTTCAAAATTAATGATTATTTGTTCAGGTAAACGACACTTCGACAGCACTAGACTTACTAAAGCCTCCATGTGAGGGTAATCGTAGAAGTCGCGCGAAGTGCATCGCTCGCCGAGCCGCGGCGCTCGTGCGGATTGGATACTTGAACAAAGCCATCGATGAAATGAAAGCGGCAGCGAAGCTGGTACCAGATGATGAAAATATTAAAAAAGACATCTATAGCATGGAGAGAGCTTGGGAACAAAATCCAGATTCTGATTGAAATTTTTGTAAAGATTGCAGTATTACTTAGATGTTTTCGGATAAAATTAATATTACTATGAAATTCAGTATTATTTCAATAAATAGGTTATATTAACTAAATGTCTATTTTTAATTAGAGTACAGAATGCAGCTAGCAAAAAATAAACTTCGAGCATAAAGTATAATCTTGGAGTTTATACCTCCGTATCTGGGAATCAAGGATTCCTAATAAATGACAGACGAGTTAGTTAACAGCAATTTACTATACACAACTAATACATGTTCTATTCCTCTACAATCTTTTTGGGCAGTCCAAGGTTTTTCAATAGCGCATGAGGCGAGGGATCTCTACCGCGGAACCTCCTGAATACTTCGCTCGGATGGCACGCGCCGCCCGTTGCTAGGAACGTGTCTCTGTACCTTCGCCCCACGGCCAATATATCCTCATCTCCTTGTCTGGCCTCGTCGAAAGCGCTGAAGATATCAGCTGCTATCATCTTCGACCATAAATGGCAGTAGTACGCGGCGCCCCACTCTTCAGACATGATTTTCGTGAACGATAAAGGATGGGAATCATATTTATCGAAAGGCAACACATTGTATTTCGGCCATATCTGTCTCACGAGATCCCTCCAGAAGGTCTTCGTTGAATGTAACTCGAGATCTAACCGCGACAGGTACAATTCCTTACACAGCTCGTATCCGGACATGTGTCGTCTCACGTTATGGAGGTTTTGTACAATTTCATCTGGTAATGGCTCCTCGGTGTTGTAGTGGCCGCTGATCGCGTGTATCGTGTGTGGATCGTACACCCAGTGCGTCATAACATGGCCGCACACCTCCGCCGCGTCCCACTCAACATTTGAAAGACCAGCCACTTCTGAATAATTCGCTTTGGTTAACAAATGCCTCAAAGAGTGACCAAATCTCTGGAACAGCACTGTGACTTCTTTGAACGATAGCAATGACTGTTTTCCTTCGGCGGGAGCTTGGAAATTAAATATCAGCGCGGAGAGTGGCTGTGTTGACGTGACGGCGCATTTATTGCGAATGGACACATGCCATCCCGCGTCATCGTATATGCGGATCTTTTCATTCTGACGGGCGTAGGGGTCGAAATAGAATCCAGCGATAGGACTATTACTGGACTCATCAAACACGTCGTAAAACTTAACATCTTTGTGCCAAGTCTGGACATTGGATCTCTCGACGATCTGAATTTTAAACAACGTACTGCAAAGATTGAACAAGCTGTTGACTACTCTCGGTAGTGGAAAGTATTCACGGATTTTATCTTCGTCAAAGTTGTACAAAGACCATTTCTGCTTCCTTTGCCAATATGGAATATCCCAATGCTCCAGTTTACTATTTAAGCCTCTTTCCTTGGCAAAATTTTGTAAGGCTTCCAATTCAATATCTTGTACTGGTCGAGCACTTTCTAGCAAACTATCTAGGATATTAGTGACATTTTCTATAGATCCCGCCATTTTTGTTTCCATACTCATATCGACGTATGTTTCAAAGCCAAGAATAGAAGCTTGTTCTTGTCTTAAACTACGTATATTCTCTAATATTGTACTCGTTTCAAGTTCTTTATTACCATAACCGGAACACCGTTGAACGAAACCTTGCCATGCATTCCATCTTTGGACTCTATCTGGACAATACTGCATAAAAGGTTCATAGATATGTGGTTGCAGGGTAACTAGCCATGGACCTTTACTTGCATCATTGTTTACTGACATCGACTTTGCAAGACTTTCCGGAAATTCCCTCACAAGCTCTTCATCACTGATTGTGCTTTTAAATGCTTTAGTTGCAAAATTTACCTTCTCGCGGAATAGATTCTTCTCCTTCTGCAGTGAAGTTAAAATACTGTTCAATCTTTCCCGCTTCACACCTTTTACATCTAAACCATTTAGTCTTCCTTCTAAAATGTATTTATCTAATAATCTTTGCTCTTCATCTGTAAGGTCTTTTAATCGATTTTTTTCATTTACAGCCGCTTGAAATATTGATATGCTATTGAATTTTGAAGATCTTGCTTTATGGGCTCTTTCATGTATCTGTAGATACGATTTTGTAGGCATTAGAGAACTATTGCCTAAGTACAAAGTTTTAGTTACACCCCAAGTTAACTCAAGTTGGCTATCAAGTTTTTCTAGAGGTTGAAATATTTCTACAAAAGCATTTTTACATTCCGCTGCTGATTTTTCAACCTGTTTTACACCACTCTCGTATTCCATACTTTGTTTACTAATAGAAGCGATACATTTCTCAATTGTAACATCATTAAATTCAGGCAAACCATTGTCTAAAAGTAAAGCATTTTTCTCTGCATCTTCACCTATTTCTGGAATTCTGAAAAAAAAATGTTTATGTTGTTTAATTATAGAATTTTCTCCATTAAAATCTGATTAAAAGATTAATAAAAACACCAGATTCAATTTCCAAGACATACATTACTGCCTCTATAATTATGTTATTACGAGCTGTTGCCCGCGACTTCGTCCGCGTGGTATTAGAAAACATACGAACTATATAAATTACAAAAAGCTATGTATCCCTCGGGAACCGGACATTTCTCGGGGATGAAGCTTATCCCATGGGTACTCCAGACTTTGTTTTATGTCTGTGCCAAATTTCAATAAGATATCTTGAACCATTGCAGAATGATCGAGTAAACATTAAAAAACTAAATTAATGAATCCCACGGGAACCGTAACTATTCCTGGGATAAAAAGTAGCCTATGTGTTCTTACAGACTATGTTCTAAACCTGTGCCAAATTTCATGGACATCCGTTCAGCCGTTTTGGCTACAAACGCTAACAAACATCCATCCATCCATCCATCTAAACTTTCGCATTTATAATATTAGTTAGATGTAAATTATAATATAAATTACATAAATAATCAGAGCCTTAACACATATACAAATTGTGTTTATACATTTTAGTATGTCTTTAGATATTAAATGGTTAATCAATTTATTGCCTAGTATTTAGCGAACAAGAATAGACAATATTTTTTATTACATTACAATTCAAAGAGAAAAGTACTTTAAGATGATAAACTTAATATAAAGAACTAACTGAGAGGACAGTTTATTAGGACAACCTCAAATCCTAAATCAAGTCTTAACCCCAAATAAATAATTAACTTATTATATTTTTACTAGAATAGATGATACAATTTACAATTATTACACAACAAACATAGTGAATCTAAAATATAATTTGTATATATAATCACATACCTGGTATTATAATATTTAAAGATAATCACTTAATTAGAATATTGAAGGAAATTTCAACTTACAGTACAACGTATCCCGCATTCCGTTTATTCTGATAAAACGGCTTTTTAAAATGTCGGCTTACGATATTTCTACGTAAGATAAATGAAGCCATTTCTTTTTGCGATTGAAATTAAAACAGATTAAGTTATTTCATAATCTGAAATAATTCGCATAAAGTATTATTTTTCATATGATTGTGACACTTTTGACAGATGAGATTGATCGGAGTACAGAGTATATATAAAATAGAAAAAAATAGTGTTATAGTGTATCTAAATAAGATGGATTCGTTTGATAAATGACGCATATGAAGTATCGAATTCAATTTCAATGAAGGCAAATGCAATAAATTAGTAAATATTAAATAAATGTTTATTACTACTAGAGCCGTAGGTAATCGAATTGGATTTCGCTATTATTTCTGTCATCGCTAAATTCTCTACACTATAATCAATACTAGAATTTTCCTATAAATTAGTTAATAAGAAAATAATAATTTTAGTCGAGTTCGATAATTATTTAAACCGAATATCGATAATTCAAAATTGTTCCCTCTGTGTGTTTATTTCGTCACTACTTTGTTTGTGCACTCAAGTTGCACTGTCATTTGAATTTGACGTATAAAGTTGCAAATATGTTCACGGCAAAAATACAGTTTAGATTCAAATGGTACTAAAATGTTTGTTTTGTAATTTAAGTTTTAAAAATGAGCAAAAATGCAAGCAGTGAGCAAATCATCAATAATCATCATAAAATTGCAGATGATGAACAAAATGATGTCTATGCTGCCTCCTCTTCAAGTGTTCATGCTGATCCATCATCAGCAATTGATGCTGCATCTGATTTTGGTCCTACTCAAGGTAAATGCAAGGGTTGAAACACTTTACAGTTGTAGATTATATAGTTACAGTTGTAGATTATATCTTTCCTTTTCCTAGCTTTTCACCAAGCTTTAAAAACTTATTATTTATTTACAGATGCATCGGATAACAGACGAAGGCGCTTTATAAAATCAACGCGGCGGACCTCCTCTAATGAGACGCCGTATATACGAGTTGCAAAATTGTTTGCTGCAACGGAATTACAGCGATTGAAGTTGGAGGAGGACCGTGAAAGGCGGCAGTATGAATTAGAAACAAGAAGGAATAAGCTGGATACCTTGCGTGAAACCAATCTTCACGCGAGGAAAGCTGTCAGAGCGCAGATTTGTAGGGATACAAAAAATATCCAACAGAAATTCCTCAAACTTATTGAAGAAGCAATAGCAAAATTTTCTAATAGGCAATAGAAATTGCAGTTCATTTTTTTCTGCTGGTGGTTCATACTTCCAATCCGGTTATTGTACCGAAGTAATGGCCAGAGCCGAGGTTTAATTTAATCAGTATAAAACTGTGGCAACTTGCTTTTTGCTTTTGAATTGAAGTAATCTATTATTATGAATATTTCAAAGTAGTTTGTCTTTACCATTTCCTATGGCGATATGTTTGAATCTCTTTAGGCTCTCATATGTAGGTTTTAAAAAACATTAAAAAGAAATTAAACTGCTTTATTAATAATTTTGTATGTAACTGTACCAAAATAACACTGTAAAATGCTACTATATTTGTAAAAAAAATTAAATTCCAATACACTTCAACTTTGATAAATTTATTTTTTTCATTCCTTCCAATACTTTATATATACAATTGTTTATAAAAATCTGATCTAATCTTCTAGATCCAAATTTTGAAGCTCTTCGTCCAAATCCTCATCAAGGAATAGGTTTTCATTGATTGGCACCGCTGTTCCGGATTCTTCCGGAGAGTTCTCTCCACTGGGCTCATCTTTGGACTTGTCTTCTTCACCATTCTGCAGACCATGGCTGAGCTGTTGTAACCTATCTTCTGTGGCCTTTGTGCCTGTGTCATCCACCTAATAAATAAATATTAAGCTTCTAAAATATGAAGAATATTTTAATTTCTAATATAAATAAGTAAATATAACAATCAAAATAATTCTGTAGATATAAACATTTGTATCGTCAAAACACTGAAACTTTCCCAAATAAATCCATAGACATATAGATATATTGTCAAAATAAAATGTGTGAACATAATTTCTTATTACTATTGAATTTGATAATAAAATTATTCTTACCTCGGAGGCCTCCATTCCGATGAGGTCAAACTGCACTTCCCGGTACTGAGTGCTGTCTCCTTCGTCATCATCATATGTGCCCAAATCCACTGCTTCATCACCATCCTATTAAAATAAAAGTTAATAAATCATATTTTATTTCAATTCAACAAACAATTTGAATAAATTAAAATGTCGAATTCCAAAATGGCGGCAAATTAATAAATTTGTAAGAATACAAATCACGGCTCAATTTCGGTCAGATATCATGTCTTACGAATTACTTAATTAGGAAAAATATTATATTTTACGAGGTTCACAAATTAAAAAACCTTATTTCTAACCGGAGATAACCTGATTTATAAGGTACAGTTGTGGAATCTGGTGGTGTCCCACTTAAAAAACAATCGAAAGTTAAAAAGAACCAATAGGAGATAGCCTTTATATCTATACTATTATATTAAAGCGTAAACACACACTTCTTTGCTGCCTAAGATGTCAGCAATTACACCATATTTTTGAATAATTTTTTTTTTAATAACATGCCCTACACTTGCGTCACGCTTTAGGCTATATATTTTAACGCCATTAAACTTAGGGGTAAATATTTTGGATAAAAACCCTATGGGAAAGAGACCAAAAGTTGCTGCCAACATTAAGAAGCAAGGTTGTTATCATGTTATGTCATTTTGACATTTGTAATTGATAATATGAAAAATGTAGACAATAAAATAAAATTTGCATAATTTCATGCGGATGAAGTCGCACGGGAACAGCTAGTATCTATATGAAAAAGGTTGGTTAATGGCTAATTGTTTACTATCCCGTCATTAATATTGCTAATTGGTTATTTGTAAGGAGTTTACATCGTTACTTGACAGTTTCTGTAAGAACACCGTGGATTTCCGCGATTGTACAAAAATTTGACAGTTACCTCATCAGCGTCAGCAGCCAGCGCCGGGTCGAAGGAGAACATTTCCCTGCCCGATAGTCCCACCGCCCTGCCCGCCTTGAAGTCCGTGCGTCGCTGCTCCTCTGCTTTGTCCATTGCATCCTACAAAAATACATACCGTTAAGAAAATCGGCACAACCCTATCATCGGTATATACGTCGCATCCCTATGACAGCTGTCAATGTCATTCAATATTAGAATAGCGCGCCATTCTGGGAGTTAGTGGTCTGATTGTAGAAATTAATTATGTTTTTACAATAATATTCATGTCTAACAATCCATACATCCATACATGCACTTTACTCTGAACTATTTATGCTTTTTTTATTACTCTTATTGATACCTAATTTAATTTTACATCAATACTAGTTTTCGCGCTAGTGCGAATAGCGCGTATCCCTAGCCGCGATTTTTTCTGCGTAGAACTAAAAATACATTACTAGCCTATTAAATGGACAATGGAACAAAATACATCATTTTGAATCTGAAGTAATCAACTAATGTCTTTGAATTTAATAACCAACATGATTCTCCACCTCCATATGATATTCCTATCCCATTGTACCTTATTTTAAATTATATTTATCCTCTATGTCAAAAAGATTATTCTTTTTTCAATTTCCTATGTAATGGTATTTTTACACAATTTCATACAGTGAAAGCACACAATCGCTAAATATTTAAATAATAACCTTCTGGGTAATTGGTTAAAAACAAACCTGTTTCTCCTTAATTTTCTTCTTCTTCCACGCAAGGAAGGTTTCGAGCGTTATCTTCGTTTGATTAGGACCCAAAGCTGCTCTCTCTCTTTCTATCAAATCGACAAGAGATATCTCGTTCTTCTTCTCTTCTAACTTCTTCTTATCACGTTTAAGAACAAAGCCGGGCGGCAGAGCGTGTCTGTATATACATTTTGTACCGGACGGACATTCCCAAAACCAACCGTATTTCGATTTTTCGACCGCTTCGAGGAAATGTTTGCAAATCTGAAAATTGTACAAAATATATTTAAAATTTTATAATAATTACATCAAAAAAATAAAAAAAATGTTACATTAAAAGCAGAATTAGTGTTACCATAAACAGTATAAGTTATGGAGGAATGGCTTAGCTTTAATGTACTGTCAGGAAATCTGACAGTGTTCTACTTTAAATCCTACAATTTGTGAGTTTTGTACACATTGAGACGTCACAGAACATCAATAGGACAAAGTTTTATAACATTTGTACGAAAAAAGTTCGATATGTGGTACACTGCCTTTTATTATCCTATTGTTTACCCAAATCATTGCCAATTGCTTTTATGTAAGAGGCGGAATTTGTTTCATTGCAAAGAGCAGTAATTTTCCTGTAAGTGGATAACCGCGAAAGGCCCAGATTGTAAAAGTTAAGTAAACAATAAATTATTCCGACTACACTTAGATTTATCATGGGAAACCGTGTGTGAAGAGTAACTTACGATATCAGTGGTAGGTCGCTGTTTATCACCTTCTCCGTGCTTCTTCTCAACAACTTCTTTGAGCTTGTCCTCGTCCCAGTTGTCCATATTATCATCATCATCTCGCATATCAACATAGAGAGAACGTTTTTCTGCCTAAGATATACAATAATATTTAAATATAAATAATTATAAATGCGAAAGTTTAGATGGATGTTAGAGTTTGTAGCCTAAGCGACTGAAAGGATTTTGATGAAATTTGGCATAGATAGGATAGTTTTAAAGAATAAATAAGCTGTTCACTTTTGTTTTTATTTAATTCCTCGCGGAGAATCGTGGTTGAAAGCTAGTCTTTGAATATAAATAACTAGCTGTTGTTAGTGCCTTTATTCCTGCAGAAATAAAAATTGTAATAAACATGGCCTATGTTACTCAGTGATAACAGCTATTTATTGGAGAAAGATTTTTTGAAATCGGCCGAATATTTTTTTGAGTTCTTTCAATACAAACAAGAATACAATTCTTTTCTCTTTATATTAATCATCATCACCAGCTCACTATACGTCCCCACCGAGGGACTAGGAGCCTACCCTAAAGTTAGGGGGACTAGGCCATAGTCAACCACGCTGGCCAAGTGCGGGTTGGTTGACTTCACACATATCTTTGAATTTCTTCGCCGATATGTGCAGGTTGCATCACAAGTTGCTTTCACCGTAAGAAAGTCGGGTAAATTATGTACATATGAAAATTCGAAAATCACATTGGTACAGCGAGATTCGAACCCAAGACCTGTAGATTGCAAATCAAGTGTTCAAACCACTGAGCCACCAACGCTCTTCATATTAATATAGATACATAATAAATATGTAGAAATTATTTACCTTTCTTTCAATACTCAAATCGTGTGAGAATTTACATTTGTCACCTTTAAAACATTGTCCTTGCTTGAAGAACGCACACACAACTGACTTAGGATCAGTACCTTGAAAAAAATATTTTTTAGTTAAATTTTAACTTATAACCACTATAGTATTATTTTTTACAATTACGTGAGAAATATTAGAATGAATAGAATATAAATCAGCTAAATGTCATACTAACTAAATTAATAATTCAGGGTTCACAAGTTTTTTATTATAAACAAACTGTTGCTTGTGACTTCATCTTTGTGAAAATAAAAAATCTACTATTAAATATACCCTAAGTTTCTTGGCAATAATGTAGCTTAGTAATTATGATAGTATATGTTACATACAAATTTTTTTTTCTCTTTATATTAATATAGTCAGTGTAATCCTTTAATGGAAGTTTTTTTAGCTTTAAGTGTACCCTTAGTTTAAAATTGTCATAAAACATGTATTGTTTACCTTTTTCAACTTTCTGTGTCTGTACTGGTTTAAATAACATAGCTAACTCTTTCTGTTCTTTCATCTTCAGTTCTTTTTCTTTCTTTTTATCATCCATCGGCTTGGCAGGGTGGATGCCGCCACTCTTCACTTGTTTCTCAACTTGCTGTATGAATTTCTGCTGCTTTGCCCCTTTTTTGTTCTTCAGACCAAATGTTTTGTCCTTCGGAAATTAAAAAATAAGTCTGTTAGTACTTTTTCATTAATCAATGCTTAACCATAATTCCACCTGATGTGATATTTTGGTTGAAAGTTGGTACATGATATGACTAGAATCCAATTTGAAATGTCTAATAGGAAAAATAAAACGTCTTATATTTCTTTATTACATAATAATAGTGTCTAATTATAAAATTAATAAAAAAATCTGACATCATACTGTATTCTTTTTTAGTTTTAGTTCCCTTTTAATATAGACATACCCACTTATGAAATTAAACAATTACATAGAATTTCAAGAAACAGATTTATTTTTATTACCAAAATCAAGCTGTTTTATGATATTACCATTACTTATGACAACTAATACTTTTAAAGTTTTGAATTACACAATCAGCAAAGTTGTTATGTTTATATAAAGATGTTATTGAATGTACCTCAATGACTTTTTCCTTTTTCTTTTGCTCCGTT